GATTAAGTGATATGTATAAAAACTGGCACTTTAACCATAATGCCACATAATGGCTATAATCCATGTCCAGCGTTAAACACCATGACACAGCATCAGATGAAAATGGAATGTATTATGAAAATGGCCTCCGTTTTCCACATCTTCTGCAGCTTTATCAAGCCGTTTAGCCTCAAAGATTCTAGTACTATAACACAGCCTAGAGACTTCATTCATTAAGAGAGATCACTATATGACTGTCAAGATTCTGTGTGTGCCAATGGATGCTGAACATTGACTATGGACAGCCACTCTTTGGTTATTTCATTCTTCTCCTAACTCGATCTCTTTGTGAAGCTACTTAGGAGGCTCAGATACTGAATCTATTATCCTCTCGTTTCCTAAGACCGCTCTGTGAGGCAGATCTGGCAATGATCAGAAGACTAGATGACAGCCAGAATGTCACGAGGTTATCATCGGTCCCATGTTCTTTCTTATCTCTTTCCTGATCTCTTTTCTCTAGTGTTTATGTGTCCTTAAATGAAAACCATCTAAAGAACTGGTAAAATGAAGGTGACCCCCTACTCTTTATGTGGTGACATAGCACTACTTCACCATACCTAATGAGCAGCATACCACCTAAACTCTTCTTTCCAGACAGCAACCTCTGCTCTATTTCATGACCAACCTTCTTTATGTGTATCTGGAATGAAGTAGAGAACGATTTTAGTTCACTAATTGGGTTTTATTAATCAGAACCATTAGTAAAGCTATTCTTGTTTGTTATAATAAATTGACTTAGAATTTTTAGCTGCTTTGCAGGATGGTATGGGGACATATTTGGAACAGAGACAATGGTTACATTCTGAACTAGCTGAATCACCTTATTTTGTGGTATTTATTTCTATTTGTTATATTTAACTTATTATCATTTATTGTGTGCCAACTATTTTGTAGCCACTTGGGGTATAAAAGTAAATTAGTAGGAAAGCCAGCATTTGAGGTACCCATACTTACTCATGATGTGGCAAACCAGTAGTGAAGGTATAGTAGGTGTTGTTAGAGTTCAGCGTTGGGAAGCTGAGAAACGGCAGGGATTGGTTGGCAGACCAGAGGACTGCAGCCAATGAGAAACTATCTACAGCTATCACAGGAAGCATTTCACTGTTAATCAGTTAGACTCCCTAAATAATATGTTAATTTTCTTTGATGGTATAACTGTTACTTTCCCAATAAAACTACTAAAAGCCGTACTCATTCCAAATTAGGTATCATTATTTCATTTAACTTTAGTATAAAAGGACCCGTTTAAATAGGCACCTGTTTAAAGATCTCTTTATTGGTCAAAGACAACTATTTTTTTAATTGGAAGCCATGTTTTCTACTGACCTGTAATAACAATAGATAACCAGATAACTCCAGGTAAGGAAGTAGCTCACCCAGACCTTTACCTTAACCAAAGCTGTTAGGATCCCAGTATACACAGTCAGGCACTGACAGTATGATGAGAGGTGGCTCCTCTGGGCACATGTATAACTTGCATCTTAGAATGACTCAATTATCTGGGTATATCATTTCTTTGCTCTACATCAACACAACACTCTATAATTTAAATTTAAAAGGTTGATTTTTTTACTGATCTCTACAACCACATCTCTAAATCATGAGTTCAAATGGCTTCATCTGACTCTCATACTAAGCATAGCCTATGTTGTAAAATAAATAAGACTAGAGAAACAGCTATCTCTGCATGGTCTTACATCATGATAACAGGGGTAAGGGCAAGCTAATCAGCAGCTATGCAATTTTACATGTGGCTTACCACAGACTCTGGCCTTGAATGAACCACCCAAACTCTTTCTATCCACTATCTGACAAGAAAATGGACTATTATTTATCTATTATCTGTATTTTGAAGGCAGAAAAATTAACAGAAGAGAGCTGGTCCAGATACTCTTGAATTTCTGTATGCTCAAACATCATGAAAGCTCATTTAAAAATGTCTTTTGGGGGCTGGAGAGGTGGGTCAGTGGTTAAGAATACTGACTGTTCTTGCAGAAGACCCGGGTTCGACTCCCAGCACCCACATGGCAACTAACAACTGTCCATAACTCCAGTTCCAGGGGATCTGACAGCCTCTCCTGTCTTCCGTGGGCATTGCCCACGACACGGGTGTACTTACCTACATGTAGGCAATACAAGCATACACATAAAATAAAAATAATAAATAAAATATTTTAAAATTTTTCTTTTGGAAAATTTTCTACTCTTCATCCCAAATCAGAAAATTCAAATCCAACTGTCAAATCATTTCCAAGCATCTGGATATGAGATATCAAGTCAATTAACAATCAGAAAATTTTAAGTGACAGACGTTTCAACAGCTGCTTGCTGGACCCTCTTGTTTTAGTGTCACAGTCATGCCCTGCAAACCATATGAGCACTGGAGAAACTCATTAACTTTTATAACCCTAAGGTATAGTTTATTATCTCAGATAACTCAAATACAAAAATCTCAGTAGGATATGCTCTAAGCACATAAAGTTTCAACAAAGTAAAGAGTACCAAAAAGAATAAGATGTGTATTCTTCAAAATGTCCCATATGCAAGAGCTATGGATGGCAAACTGAAATAAAAGTAGTCCTACATTTAGAATCCACACTGTCAATGCTGCTAATGGCCTCATGCTGCATTACAGCACATATCGTGTATGTACATTTATATTTGTGACCCAAGAATCAATATTCAGAAAGCACACTTTCAAGAGAATCACTATGGAAAGCCCAAAGAGGGAAAAAAGAAGGTCAAGTCAGTGTCAAAGAAATTATGGTATGTCTAAAAGCACTATCAAGCCAGGCATGAAGCAAAGTCCCTTAATCCCAGCACTTGGGAGGCGAGGCAGGCAGATGTCTGTGAGATCCAGACCAGCCTAGTCTACAGAGCAAGTTCCAGGCCAGCAGGGGCTACAGGAAGCCCCTGTCTCAAAAACTAAACCAAAGAACCATTTTAGTAATACTTCAGATGAGGCTCCAAAAACAAAACAAACTAAAAATCACTACAATTGTTTTGGGGAGGCAGAGGCAAGCGGATCTTTGTGAGTTCGAGGCCTGCCTGGTCTACATAGTGAGTTCAAGGGCAGCTGGGGCTACAGGGAGACCCTGTCTCAGAAAGACATAAATAAATAAATAAATAAATAAATAAATAAAGGGCTTGAGAGATGATTCACTAGTTAGGAGCACTTCCTGCTCTTTCAGAGGATCTGGGTTCTGTTCCCAGCACCCATATGGTGACTTATAACCATCTCTAACTTCAGTTCCAGGAGAATTCAAGTCCTCTTTTGGAGTCCTTGGGCACCAGGCATGCATGTAGGTAAACAGACATACATGCAGACCAAACACTTGTGTGCAAAACATAAAAAATAAAAAGTTCAAAAAGAAGATACTGAAACTCGTTAGGATATAGATGGGTCCAAGGGAATAACGATAAACTCAGAGTATAGAAAAAGGCACCGAAACCACATAAAATACTCTTGTACATTTACTTACTGTCTTTTGTTAAAGTTGGAAATTGGAAGGAGAAAAAAGGCAGTGGAAAGATCTTTCTTCAGTGAAGTGACTGAAGGAGAGACAGCACCCAGAGCAAAACCAAAGAAGCTGGACAAGGGCAGGGCTCTCCCTGGGAAACCATGGAGATTTGAAAGATCTGTATAATATCACAAATAAGCCTCAAGTTAAAAACAGATCTACTTACTAAATCTTTGAAAAGCTGCTTCTAAACTCTGATTCTAACTCTCATTGGGAAGGAGAGTGATTTATCACAAGTTGCCTCTGGCAGAGAACATTTAAGGACTCAAAGTGGAGTTGAACGAATTCAGGAGTGGCTGGGATACCTAGGGTTGATTCCCATTCTCTACAGCTGTGACAGTGCACTGTGTCCTGAGACTCCAGGCTGCATCTACTTAAATTGCTGGTTAGTGCCACATAGGACATGGAGCTGGCCATTTCTGTGTTTCCATATGAAGTATACGAAGGTATTTCTTAAGTAAAACTCAAATGTTTATATCACAAAGTTTATAGTCCGTATTCCAGTCACTGTAGGACAATTCTGCCCAATTATCACCTTTATGTAATGGTCACAGGAAAAAAATTGGGTTTACTCTCTATCGAGGCCCTGACAGACTTCATATTTAATGTCCATAGTGGAAATCTACTATTTGTGTAAACAGTTATTTTTAGAGGAGCAAAAAATTTTAAAGTTCTGGGATAAACCCCAAACTTCCTGTAAGTAGAATCAAATACTAAACTACCCTGAGGTTAGAAAACCCACTTCAACAGAGGTGCACGTGACTGCTGCTACTTTAAATAACTAATTTAAACCAGAGTAGGATGGAAAATACATCTTCTGATGAGCAAGAGATTTGCTAATGTTCAACTAGTGTAAGAATTTAAGTTGGTTGTCGAACCAACAGATGTTCTCAAAGTGCCATTAATTCTGTATCTGAAAGGCATGTTTTCCTTAAAACAGTTACATTTGCCTGTTAATTTAAATTAGTTAACTGCCTACTTTGATGGAAATTACTACTCATTTCCACTGGAGGATGGAAATGTTTTAGACATTGTAACTTCCCAAAGAAGAACCTTTACTCTCTGCTCATACTGAGTTTATTAAATATACAGATCTGTGTTCTATTTGTAGAGACCAGAGTAGTACTCTGTTAATTAAAAGCAAAATAAATTATGCTTATTAAGACAAACCATCCAAATCTATTCAACACATAGACTACAGTTATTACTTAATTGAAAAGCTATTTCTGAGCCAGTCTATTGACCACCCATGGCAAAGGGCCTATTGATACTACAGAAATGCTCACGACTCAGAGATTTCAGAGAAGTGGGGGATCTGAAAGGAACTGGTCAGCTCTGGGACCTTTAATGAGGAGATACTAACCAATTCTTTTTCTTTCAGAAATCAAAATTGACCTTTATCTTTTAAAAAACATTACCAAAGAGTTCAGAAAACCTTACTTCTGGCAGTGGATTGGCCGGCTTTGTAAGGATTCCTCCTACGTACACAACATTAGGCAGGGTGGGTCTTGGGAACTCCAGGGCCACGTCAGTACAGAGCATCCATAGGCTGGACCCATGAACCAGATCATACATGGACTTTGCAGGCAGCAGGTTGTATTTCTGCATTATCCTCTCGTATTTGGGAAGAACCAGAAAGCTAACCCCTATTCTGGAAATGAGGTAAATGCCAGTATTTTTCATCCTTTGCAGCAAATTCATGTGGTCTGTGAGAAGTGAGTTAAACTCTGGGACATAAGCTAAAGGAGCTGGAGCCCCTACTTCAGCAGGGTACCAAAGGCCAGTTGAAAATACAGCATATTTAACTCCTAAGAGATGAGCTATCACAAATCCACACATATCATTGGGGTCAACCAGCAGCAGGTCAAACTCTTCTTTTTTCAGATCCTGGATTAGGGCTTGGTTGCCAACCATCATGTCACAGTTCTTAGTGTAGTGATCCAGAATGTCAAACAGTTCCATCGCTGTCAATCTCCCGGAAAAAATATTCCGCATTTTGGACTGCAGGAAAGCATCCGAGGTGGTACTGTTGAAGATTCCTGGGTACCGCTGGAGACTGTAGTGATTAGATGGGGCGATATCTCTGCCTTCCGAGAGGAGGAATACTGTGTTGTGGCCTCTCTCGTGCAAGGCTGAGGCTAGTGTCTTGAAAATGTACAAGTGGCTCTCAAACATAATTGGCGGCACAATGATGATTTTGGCAGCCCTGGCTACGCCAATCGCACTCCACAGGAGCATCAAATACGGAGTGTAAGACTTCATAGCTGTGAAAACAATCAGAACACAACTTAAAACAGCATATGAGGCTGACATTCAAACAATCACCATTTTTATTTTTCAAAATACCAAATGATTCAATTATTTTAAAAATTAGCCTAATCTTTGTTTGAATTAAGTTTTCACTTAAAAAAAAAACACAATTTAGGTTTAAAAAATTGAAAGCAAATTTAACATATAATAAAATATGTTAAGATGAATCAGAGGATATATAATTTTATCAGAATGAGAGCTTTTAAATGTGGACTAAAACTTCTGCAAGGTTAGATGATATGAGGGATTAAGTGGTATTACTTCTTTGAACAGGATCTATGAAACAGTATGAAACCTTTGGCGACATTCTAAAAGAACATAAATGTTAATTACAAAGAGAGTTCCAGTTTTTAAATTGCAGATATATCAATACATGTCTCTTATTAAATCTTTATTTTAGTGGTAACATTCCCATTTATGGACAAAGCATACAAAAGATAGCAAAGATTCGAAAATGAGTTATAGTTCAATAATTCTGTACAAAAGAGATTTCTCCCTCACAGGTAATCTTTAGGATTTATTTCCCCTCACCAAATACCATAAATAACCTTGAAGTTGGTAATTTATATAATTCATGTCTATTTCAGGACATCATCCAAGAGAGCAAAGGTTGATAGAATGTGTGAGAAGGAATGGCATATTCAAGACGGGTTTATGAATGAACCAGTCCCAGACTTCCCATGTTCCACCTTCACCTACAGTGCCAACCACGTCAGAAGTGGCTATACACCTCAAGGTAAACAAGCACACACGAACAGGATGGACACAGATCCAATCTACTCAATATAATTAATGCACTGATCTAGGCTAGACCACAAGCAGAGAAAAGGCCTAAAGGCTTATGTTTGCATGAAAAGTGGACACTTTTATTTCAAGAACAATTCAGAGCAGATTTGTGCATACCTCACCAAATTACTATGTACTTTTTATCATTACTGTATATTAGCCAAACGCAACAGGCAAATCCCTAGCATCTAACAGTTTAAACAACTATACCTTCAAAAATTCTGTAAGCCATTTAGAAAAAAATCAATAGTGAGGAAATGATGGATTATTCTGATATTAAGATGAAACAATGACGTGACACTGTATCTCCAGCTATTTCTCCCTCTCCCACTCCCAGCAGAAAGTAATGCACATTATAAATGTATAATGTTAAGTGTAGTTGAATTATTAGATAACTTTAAAAATAATTTGAGGGGGCAAGGGGGGCTGGTAAAGTAATGCACATTATAAATATATAATGTTAAGTGTAGCTTGAATTATTAGATAACTTTAAAAATAATTTGAGGGGGCAAGGGGGGCTGGTAAGATGGCTCAGCAGTTAAGAGCACTGGCTGCTCTTGCAGAGAACACAGGATAGGTTCCCAACACCCACAAGGCAGTTAACAACTGTCCATAACTCCAGTTCCAGGAGTGGCAATGTCCTCTTCTGACCTTCCCATCTTCTGCATGACATGGGTGCACTTATATTTATGCAGTTCATACATTCATACAGTTAAAAATAAAAATAATAAATAAAATACTTTAAAAACAAATCTGGAAAAGACAGTTTCTACAGCAAAGTTGACTCTAATTACAAGGTCAATGTAAGGGCAGAATTAAGTAGTCAATCTTGGGGAAGAAGAAAGAAAAAACTTGCCCCCCTCACCAATGTGTCTCTCTGGTGATGCTTAAGAAACTTTACATGCACATACTGTGAATTCTAGGGATGAGATTCATGCAGAAGCAGGTATTCCACGCTCTACTATCACTACGCATGTAACCAAGACATTCATGAGGATATACAACAGCAGGCAGCTCTGCTCCTACTCAGCGGGGCAGACAATGGGAGGCTGTTCAGTCACACTCGAAGCCACCAACTTATCATAAGTAACTGAGTAGTAATGACAGTAGGGAAACAACCCTTCCCCAGTGCTGCTCATGACTATGTTAGTATTGTATTTCAGCTCACACAAAATGTTTTTATTTTAATGAAACAACTGTGTATGTCTAGAACAGCACTGCCCACTAGAATGTTCTATGAGACGAAAAATGTGAGTTGCTTTTTCCTATGCTCACCTATTCGCCAACAAGTACCACGCAGTTGAGATACTCAGTGTGAGAGCCAAGCATAAATTTTACTTTGTTTAGCTGCATGTGGCTGGTGAGTACTGTCCTAAAGTGTTGATTCTATATGTGTTGATTCAAAAATATCAGTATTCATGGGGCAAAACACCTTCTAAAAATAATGCCTACAAGGTCCTCAAGAAAAATAGTGACCACCAACAAAGAAGAAACATTTAGGCCGGATTATTTTACTATTTGAATATAAAATTAGTTATGAAAAATTACAACACAGTTTAACTTGAGAGTCACGAGCCTCACTGTGTAAGAGAATAATGCTCACTAGCAACAAAAGCTGAGTTGTCAGAGACCAGAGTTATCTGGGGTGACACAACAGCTTGTTCTGATACTCACTTGTGTTTTAATGATAATGTTTATTGGAAACTTTATAGGCAGGAGTTTTATTGACAAGGCAGAATGTGGTACTACATTGCTTAGCTACAAGCATTGACAATTTTGTGCTCCACAGAGCATCTCAGTAAGCTTTACTTGATTCATGTATCACAGTGGATAGTGCCTGACACCATCTGAGGCTTTACATTAGCTCTGACCCCCACTTTCAGCATGGGACCTACAGCAGCTCACAGCATTTTCTAATGCACAGAGTATCTGTTTTACATTAGGTGAAACAACAAGCAATGCTCTCTCCTGGGTTTCTTGGGTAATTGTACCAGGGCAGTATCAGGTATCAACCAATCCACTCCAGCTGATTGTTTTCAAATCCACCACATTAGCGATAATATTAAGAACTGCTTTGCCTATCCAGGGTCTTTTGTGCTTCCAGATGAATTCTGGGATGGAAATATGAAAGACTTTGGATAGTCAAAGCAATCCTAAGCAAAAAGAATAATGCTGAAGGGATTACCATATCAGATTTCAAGCTATATTACAAAGCTAGATGCCCATATGCTGAAGAACGAAAGGAGACTTCTAACTAAAACTGCTAGAAGAAAATATAGGCAGTAACCACCAAGATCTGGATGTAGGAAAGGACTCTCATTTGGACTCCAAATTAAAACCAGCAATGGCAAATGGAACCCCATCATACAAAAAACCTTCTGTATAGCAAAGGAAACAATCAATGAAGAGGAAGGCCACAAAGTGGGGAAGGATTCAGCCACACATCTGGTAGAGGATTAATATCTAGAATACACAAAGAATCAAGAAAAGAAATTATTCAATTTAAGAAATAGGCTATGGCAGTTGCAATAGCATGTACAACACAAATGTAAGTTAAAGCCAGATAAATTACCAGCACAGAGGCAGGCATGTGGGTAAGAAGTCCCAATGCTAGCTCTGGAACTACTGGTAACTGATAGCTGCTGGGGGAGGGAGAGTCAACTTGTTATGTTTAATTTTTAATTTAAATTTTTTTTATTTTATACATATGAGTGTTTTGACTATGTGTATGTAAGTGTATCTGTGCATGCAATGCCCACAGAGCCAGAAGAGGGTGTTGGATCCCCTGGAACTGTGGTTAAGGATGGGTGTTTTCAGAAGTTGGGAACCAAACCCAATTTCTCTGCAAGAGCAGTTAGTGCTCTTAACTGCTGAGCTGTCTCTCCAGTCCCAAGTCAGTTATTTTTCAAGGGTGTGATATTGGGTAGGTTGACCAGTCTTCAGGGGGTACTCCCACCAAAGTGCATTTGAGAACACAATTAGACTAGACAGGACTAAAAAAAAGAAAATGAGGACATGGAGTGTGGCAGGGGGGCAATGAGGGGGGATGCCGATGGAGAAAGGTCTGAATATGACCAAAATACATCGTATGGCATTCTCAAAAATTCAATAAAATATATTTTTAAATGGACTATGGATCTGAAAGAAGAGTAGAGTCAAAAGAAGAAATAAATGGCTAAGAAGTATCTTTAAAAGTATATAACATCCTTATCAATTAGGGGCAGACCATAGGAATCCCAGCCTCAACTGAGTAGACAGACCTCCCTGAAGAGAACTCCCCAGGCTGCTGCAGTGGCCAATGTGAAGCTGTGTCTCTAGTCAGGGTGTTCCACTGCTAGACAATTAGAGCTTTTCCTGGAGTCTAAAGGGTCTTTTTCCTTTGTTAAGTAATTCTGATAAACACAGCAACGTTATAAATAAGATCATTACCATGATTTTCATCCCAGCATCATTAAGAGTGTGAAAGGAATTCTGGAATGTGTTCAATGCCAGACTGAAATAAGAGAAAGGCTGCAACTTTAACTGTCTTCTTTCTAAGGACTTTCCCTACTTCAGCTTGACTGATGACCCAAAAGATGAGAGAGAACATTTCTCAGCAGCTAGGTTTAGTCAAGTAAGTTCTCCTATTGGAGAACGTGATGCAAGTAAAACAGCTTTTTACTTGGATTCACCCCTCACTCAGGTTCACAAGGTCACTGGAGAGGAGGAAAGGTTGCTGTTCCTCTTTGGTCTGTTTACTTTACTGTGGCTGATGTCACAGAGATAAGCCATTGTGCTTAGCCAGTCCCTGAGCCACCTTTGATTCAGGGATGAGACAGAACCCACTCCCTTACCCCTGGAAAAAAAAATTGAGGGCAACTGTCTTTTCTGAAACAGAAATCTCCTGAAAACTTACCTTTTGTCTTCAAACAGAAAGATTTATTTTATTGTCACTGCTTTTTAAAAAATATTTGTTAATTCTTTGAGAATTTTATATGGTGTATTTTGACTATATGCACTCTAGTCCTACCTCCAGCCTACCCACCAAACATGATTTTTTTCCCCAAAGCCCATCAAATCTTGACTTATTTATTTTGATATTTTTATTTATTTTTATTTTATGTGTATGAGTGTTTTGTCTGTGTGTATGTAAATGCATCCATGTCATGCAAAGCCTGCAGAGGCCAGA